AGGTTACCAGCTTGTTGGCAGTTGCATGTATTCGGTATTGAATGTCATATCTCTGACAGACGAGAGCCACCTGTGCATGTTCGGTAGACTCCTCAATGGTAGTCATCGGGTCAGACACTTCCTCCACTTCCATCATTTCTTCCATTTTCCTGCAAAGGCTGCCCCTGCTTTTGGCGGCAGGCCCTTCCTGTCAACAATCAATTCCTGCTCCGTCAAAGATTTCGGCAATGCGCCCGAACTGCAGGAACCTTAAGGCACGTTCAAAGAGAATACCATCTCAACATCCGCCAACTCTTCAAGTGCAGTCCCATGGCGATCAAACACGGCTTCGAAACACCTGGTTTCAAATACTCAGCAGGCAACCGAGAAATGCCATTCTGAGGAACATCGCCTGATCATTGAATTCACACATCCAATTCGATCCACAAACTCGACAACTTGCCAAACATTCAGCGGTTGCAACCAGCGGAGAAGGCAAACGGCCATGTCCCTTTCGGCAAGTACTACCAGAGTTCGGAGGTAGATGAGATAGGTTGTCCACATTGGTAACTGGCTATGGGCGTGAGCAGACTGCGCCGATTCCACACTGGACAGAATACAGGAGCGACTCACGTCGGGCCTCGGAAGGCGGCGATAAGCCTTGTACCCAAGCCAAGACCCATTCCACACTGGACAGAATACACAATAGCGGAGCGACTCACGTCGGGCCTCGAAGGCGGCGATAAGCCTTGTACCCAAGCCAAGACCAAGGTGGGCAGTGTAGTCACGGGTGTGGCACCAGGCACGCTCGCCTTTCTCTGACGAAGCGTTGCGAAGTACAGGACGTCCACAAAGTTTCCCTGTTCAGCTGCCTCAGCTGCGAAGCACGCCTGGATAGGCGTCCATCGCCATGCGCCACTCGGATGCCTTGGGAGGGGCCAGATACCAGGCCAGGTCCACAGCAAGAACTCTGGAAATGCCGATTGGCGCCAGCGACATCGCTGTGCTGCGGAATCTTCGCATGTGTCATTGACTTTGACTTGAAGTTGAGATTGCATCGGCAGTCACAAACACAACGGCGCCGCTGCGAGATGCGATGAATACACGTCGCTGTTTGTTGTTCGTATGTTGTTCAGCAAACTGCTAAGGAGGGAAGATGACCTGAAAGCAGATGGGAGTCGCTCAATGATCGGCCGATGCCTTTGCCCTTTTGAGATGGTGCGAATGGCTGTGAATCCCACACCCGAGTTAAGAACTCGAGTTGAAAATACGAGTAACAATTCAAGTTAGAATATCCAAGCTGAAAACTGATTGGTCATGAGTTGTCTACAAGGCTCGGACCCGTGAAAAGCTGTCAGACAACTGGATCTCAGCTACTGAACGATGGCGTGGGCACGGCAAATATCTTCTTACCTGGAAGGTGGCGAAGGCAGTGGTAGTTGCCACGCTGCCCCTGGAAGTTGCAGATTACGAGCAGGCTTGGTTTTGACATTTGCGTTTACGTTTTTACACGTAAAACCATAAACTTGTGAAAGGGGGTATTTTTACGGCTGTTATTACGTTTTACGGCTTGCTGGGACAGCCAGGTTACACGATTAAACTTGCCAACAACGATGAGTCATCCGACACCTCCAGCACGAACAACACATTGCCCACCTCGCTCTCGGCAAGGGCAACGAAGGCATCGAACAAAAGTTCGTTTCTACCCACAACAGCGCATCTGACTGCCACTCCCCGAACTCTCGAAATCTGTATGTACTGTCCTTATGTACATGGGACTGAATTTACATTATATTTTTACGTATTTTTATACGTTTTTATGTGTAAAACGTAAGAAGTATTTTCACGTGTAAAGACGTAAATATGTTCAGTTTTTACGGCGTAAAAATAATCCTGATTATGCATACACAGCGTGTCCGTCCACGATGGCCCTCGAACACGCCTCGGACGAGGGGCCAACGGAGGCCTCATGAAGCGCCCCAGCCGAGAGGCAATGCCAATTTCATGCACGCCCGGGGCTTCGAGCTGTCTACCCAAGCTGAGTGAATAGCGTGTCAACATTTGACGCAACTAATGTACTTCAAAATAATGTACTTCGAAGTATTATATTATTCGTGTGGTGCTGCGAGACGCCCTGAAATGCTGACTTAATTCTGGGTGGAGGGGATTAGTTCTATCAGCAGTCCAGGGGTTATCTCAATATTGCAATTGATGGAGCACACTAAATTGGCACATGCATTAAATGTACACTTCGCTCATACGTGGGCAGCAGCGCACAGCCGACGCTCTGTTTATGACTCGCTGGAGGCAGCGCGAGCGCGGTAGTGTGCCACAACAATCGAACGAACATGAACAGCACAACCCGAAGGTAGTCTGAACCATTCTCCGCGTGGGTCTGCCCGCCTCCACCAGTAGAAACAGCCTGTTTGCGATGCCAATTGCGACGCCATTTGACACAAATTGATGCCATCGCAATCACTGTGACGGCATCACTTTGTGTCAAAATAACATCGCAGCTGGCATCGCAGACATGCCGTTTTCTACCCGTGAGCTCACTCTGCGACGAACAGAGTTGATACCATCGGCGAGCACCTCTGGGGCAAGGGACTCTCAAGCGGAGCAGCAGCCGTGGAAATCTCCACCAGAGCTCCTCAACACAACTTGCCGCTCTGTTCACATTGGTGCCTACGCTCGACGCCAGTCTCTGGATATTCTGGGCCCTGGGGCCGGTGTGGAAAACAAACTTGTCGAAACTGCAGGGTTGGTGCGTGCCGCGCGGATGAACTCGTGGTGGCTTGCGCCACTTGCTCGACACTTGTATAGGACGAAACACCCTGGTACAAGCGCAAAACCGGCTGTCACGATTTCAAACAAGGTGATGGAGCAGGAGGACGGGAGCGCTTCCGGGCACGCAGCTGTCTCACGGAAACACAAAAGCTCTAGCGAATGGGGAACTCGGACTTTCGCCAGGCCTGGCCGCACCTAGGTGCGGTGCGCCCATCCACGCCGAAGTGCATCCTGAACTCAATGCTCTGGACCGTCGCGCACATCGTCATCGAGAAGATCTCTGGCGGTATTCGAGACCAACTGTGATGCCATTTGACACTAATTGATGCAATGGCAGTTACTTTGCAAATATCAGAATCCCCATCGCAATCAATGCGTTGGCATCAGTTAATGTCCAATGGCATCGCAGTTAGCATTGCAAAATTAACGTTTCCACGGGTGCATCCAGCAGTTGCCGTTGAAGCCTGGCAAGCCTCGATTCCCCTCAGTGGAGACCTTTGGGACAGGGTCTCAGCAACACTGCTCGTATTGGCAGGTGGGACTTGGGCTAGCACGGCCACTGCTTCTCAGCGTTCGCAGTCGCTCTGCGCCACCGCACTTGTTGGGTGATGTTGCCGCCCTGGTCGCCGACCATCGCCTTTCGAGGTGGCCGGTGCTGCCACGACACTTCCCTGTGAACAGGCCGTGAGAAGTTCTCCATTCCGCCACAGGGAACCCGTGCCCAGTCAGCACAGTCATACGGATGTTCGTGATGGCTTCCAACTCTGATAATGTACTGGCTCGCTGACTGTGCCACCGCGGCACCCTCGCGATGGAGTCCGAGTTCCGGCTGCCACTCTCCAAGAACGGCGCATGGCTGCTCACGGATATATACAGGCGCCACCATGGTGCTCGGCCAAGTCGATCGCCGAGCGCCTGTGCCTGCCTGCGCACTTTGCACAGGGCCATCCCTGCTGCTCGACGCTCTGCTGCGCGACATCTTGCGACACAATTTGCCCATCGCTGTTGACGAGAGACGCATCGGGTTCTTGAGGTGGGTGCGCCGCTTTGATGGAGAAGGGCGTGGTCGCTTCTTGGATCGTAGGGTATGAAAAGCGAAGGCAGCACCATTTCCGTGAAAGCTGCTACGGGCGCACAGAGACTGCCGCTGCCTGTGTCGATGGTCCCATGCCAAGGGAGTTGTCAGGTTGAACATGCCTACACACATTGGGCGGGACGCGCCCCTGCGCCGCCGCGTAGGACCGCGGATGGCAAATGGATGTTTCTAGACCATGAAGCAGACTCTTCCCGTGGAAAGGATCCCGCGGCATGGTTTTTGGCGCATGCTCGCGTGGAGCGAGGGCAGGGTCGCAATCTGCAAGGGAGCCGTTCGATGGCGTCCATCAAAATGGGGCGCGTGCATCGGGGGACTTTGCGCTCATGCCGCGCCCCGCGGGATGTTTAAAGTGGAGTCTTTGCGCGTCGCCGTTCTGGAAGCGCTATAGCTGTGTTGAGCGGTCGGACAGTCCTCCACCCGTGCACGGTGTTTATGAACCCGTGCGAGTAGTTTCTGCCCACTGTGTTTTGTTTTCTTTGTCCCATGCTTGCCATTGCCCGTTGGCTGTCCGTTGTCGGCTTGTTCCTTGCTTGTCCGTTGTCTGTTTGTTCTACCGTTATATGTATTCCCGCGCCCGTTGTCTGACTCCATCCAGCCCGGCCGACGCTATCTGTGCGCGTGCACCGACAGGAGGACATCTGGACCTCGCCAAGCACAGCCATGGCGAGACTGGCGACGCTTCTACTCTTCTCTTCTCTGGTGAGCGGGAGAGGGCCGCGCTGCCACGGTGAAAACGTTCGGCTCGGATAACACGGCAGGCACAGAGTCTCGCAGGTGCCGCAGGTGCCTCGAGTGGCTGTGGCGCCGGTTGCGTATCGCAAAGTGCATTCGGAGTTTTGAATACACATCTTTTCAGCCCTAGCTTCAGCGCAGGGGAATGTAGAGGCCTTCTTTGGTAGCTTCCTTTTTTAGTGTGGATTCCGAAACACTGCATCTCATTTCGGTGTCCAGGTGCCTTTCCCGTCCTATCACAAAATATGCGGGCCTCTTTCCACCTAGCAGGAGAGTGGAAGGAGATGCAACCGCTAAAATTACCCGGTACCACCTGTTCGGTAGTTGGGCAGTGCGCTGACCTGCAGCTGGCGCTTTCTTTCAGGTCCTCTTGGCGTCCGCAAAGCCACTCACAAATCGCCGCCTAATGGCCAGCGCCACGGCCGGCTCCACATCTTCGGCCGTCGCCAATGGGGGCTCCGACAGCAACGTCCAGGCATCGGCCGTGGCCGTCTCCCAGGGCGGCTCGTCCTTCGCCGCTTCCAGCGCATCGTCTGAGGCGCTCAAGCAGGTGGAGGACGCCTTTGCCGAGGCGGTGCTGCGAGTGATCCCCAAGACAGAAGGAAAGAGCTGTGAAGATGTCATTGACGTCGTGTCCCTCGAGGTCGAGGCGACAGGGCTGGCCATTGCGAGCGCCTACGCTGACGCCTTTGGTCAGGTGGGATTTGCTAGGGCGAGCGATGTCGGGGCTGCTACCGCTTCAGGGCAGGGACCGAAATGGGTCGTCCGTTCTGGGAATACTGCACCGTTTCCCTGCTGTCGTGTTTCCATCGGCATCACCCTTAGGCACTGCCCTGCCGATGATCTGCACATAGTTTGCTTTCTCATTTTCTTCCGCCGCTTTGTGAGTTGCGAGAATTGCGAGTCGAGATCTCCCGATCCCATAGCGCTTACGCAATCGCTGTTGCTCACGCAAGACTTTGCTGCCGATCCGCAGGTTGAACTTGAAGGCGAGGGCAGCGCATGCGCCGAGGCCTCAGCCACGTCAAGTTCTACCGCGGAATCTTTTGCCGCCATCGTTGCCGGTGTGCTGTTCAACGCTCTCAGTGAAGAACAAGAACACCTGGACAGTGTCGAGGATCTCACTGTCATAATCTCGGAAGCGTTCGCCTCGGCCTTTGTGGACGCCTACACGTCCGTTTGCACCACAGGCGGTTACGGTCAGGCGCAGCAGCTGTCCTTCGCGGAGGCCATGGCGACCCCCATCGCGCGCGCCTTTGTCTTCGCCATCTCCGGAGTCGGCTGTCTGGGTGAGTGAAAGCTGTACAGTGGAGCTTCTAAAACCCAATGATCTTTGGCACACTTGCTACAGCGTTTCGCGCATTCGCTTTTTGCCATGGCGAGAATCGATGACTGTTGGTTCCCACCACAGCCGCACAAATGCTAAATGAAGAGTGCGTCTCTCAACTGCCCTGTGCCCTGCCACTTTTTTGTGCTTGCGCTGATCGGGGGCTGCTGCTCACAGATGTATACGACACCGATCTTGAGGAGAGCGCCACTGAGGGAGATGTGTCTGAGGAAGTTTCGCAGTCCACTGTGACGGAATCGACCTCCTTCATCGAGGGAAAAGGGTCATCCACGAGCGCCGGCGCCGCCGAATCAGCGGCGGGGAGCGCGGCTGAGGCCGACGCTGCAAAGTCTGAATCCACGGCGCAGTCCGTCTCGGACAGTGCCGACGGGAGCTCCGAAGCGACGGCCAATGCCGACAGCGTGTCCGGCCTGGCTCAGTCGTCTGCTTTGGCGACCACAGAGGTACGTCGCAGCTCGCATGTGTTTTGATATTTTGCAGTGATGTACTGCTTTTGGAATGTACTGATGCGGATCGATTGTAACATTCAACAAACGGGTTGCGATTATTTGCTTGTATGCAGTTTCGGAGTTTTGGGCATTCAACCTGTCTCCTTTGCAACCTGCGGCAACAGCCATGTCATGTAGCCGCCCTTGCGGCGGGACATTTATTCGCACGTCTTTCGCCATCCGGAACAGCTGCCCCGTAATGTCGCTGACGACTGAACGGCAACCTTCCAGGTAATTGTCGAGGTGGAGCGCTTGGTGGACGTTGCCTTGGGTGAAGCGCTTGCAAAGTACGACGGCATGCCTTGCGAGGAGATCTTGGAGACCGTTTCCGAGGGCGCGCAAGCCCACGCCGCAGCGGTGGCCAGCGCCTACGCCGTCTCCTTCGGAGAGGTGTTTGTGGAGGGAGACGGCTCCGCCTGTGCCCAGGCTTCCAGCAGCGCGACCGCCGAGGCAGACGCCTTTGCCAAGGCCGTGGCAAGCGTCCTCCTCCGCACGTACAACGGAACGAGCGAGGAGCGCGTGGAGTCCATCCTGTCCACCGCCACCGCCGACGCGTTCGCCGACGCCTACGCCTCCGTATGCACCGGGGAAGGCTACGGCGCTGCGGAGCAGGCGTCTTTTGCTGAGGCAGTTGCCGAAGCCTTGGCCAAGTCGTTTGTCTTCGCTGCTGGCGGCGAAGAGTGCCTTGAGGCGTATTCTGAAGCATCTGGACAGGGTTTTACGTTTACAGAATCCACATCCACCACAGTGGTGGACGGGCTGGGTGAGGCGGAGGCCGCCGGACTGGCGACTGCCGCCACCGGGGGACATGCGGAGGGCGAGGGCGCCTCGGCCGACTCCAGCGCTGCGTCGGTGTCGGACAGCCTTGATGGAAATGTGGACGCCGTCTCGAGCGCGACGTCCACGGAGGGATCAGCTTCTGCAGCCGCCGTGGCAGTGGCAGAGGTGAGCCTCTTTGCGAAGACATGCGGCATACTGCCGCTTGTTTCGAATTTTTCGCGATATTGCCTAAAATGTACAGAGTTTCCCAAACTTGGTTTGGAAAAAGTCCTCCACTTCTATTTCACAATCTATTTGTGAATGTACATTGATGTGTCCTCATCTATTATTGGTATGCGATGAATACTTTGCATCGTGACACATCAACAACTGAAACGGAGTCTAGCTATCCGGGCAAATGATAGAGTTGTAGGAAGAGCCTTCAGGGCAAATTTCCATCAGTTCGGTGACACTGGTTTTCGCCGTTCCTTTGTACTACTTGCCCTGTTTTGATTTTCCTTCCCACGAATGCGCTCGCAGGTCATCGTGCGGGCAGCCAGCGGCGTGGCGGCTGCCCTGGAGGACGTCGCCCTGTCGGGGCTGAGCTGCCCCGACGCACTGAAGCAGGTGCACGACGAGATCCTGGAGTCGTCCCAGTCGTTCGCCAGCAACTATGCCTCCGCTCTCGCCGAGGCCTCCGTGGACGGCAAGGGCAACGCCTGCGCCGAGGCCGCAGGGTCAGCCCAGGCCGCCGCCAGCGGCTTTGCATCCGTTCTCATTGAAGTCATATTGGACAAGACAGGTGACAATCTGATGGGCGACGGCGAAGAGAAGGAGGTGCAGAGTCTGGTGGAAGCTGGTGCGGCCAAGGCATTCTCAGACGCCTTTGCCACGGCGTGCTCGGAGGA